TTTTAATTTCTTTCTCTGATTTCCATCATAATGATTGGACTTACAGTATAACTGCAGTGCTTTATATTTGTATAGCTCATCATTGGTAGCAGTGTGTTGCTGATGGTGGTGCCTACCATCTATTGTATTATTTGCATTCATTCATTCATTCATTTAGTCAACATGAATGAGGTATGACAGAAAAAGGTGCACCATAAATAGACAGATTCTGATGCAGACATTGCTTCCTTACACAATAGCGGCCGATTGTTTGATTGTGTTATTGCGATTAAGAAAGCAAATGCACATCTTTCTTCATCTTAGTAAGAGATTTGATTGACAACTATTTTGATTATGAAATGGTTGTGATCTGAGAGCCACGTGATGTCCATTCCACGTGCACAGACTCTTAATACTTGATGATTTTTTTCAATGTATATCTCTGTGTAAGTTTGTGTTATTTCATGGCAAACTTGCATGCAGGTTGTTGTCTGTCAGTCCTCAGTCGCACAGGCTAACAACTCCCTGGAAACCTCAGGTCGCTAGGGCAAAAAGTGGAAGTTGCTAACTAAGACCAGGTGAAGAGGTGTGCTGCACCAAAACCTCCTGTGGTCGCTAGAAAATTGCTTCATCTTCTAGTTTACAAAGAAGATGCTGGGTTTTCTGGAACAACACGTTCTCATCCCAAAGCGTAACATTTTACGCTAGGTGACAAATCGTCAACATATTACGTTTTCAGGCACCCAACACCTTCCTACATGACGACATCAGAAAACTGAGGACCTGTGAGAACCATTTGGACTCAATCTACACATGTTTGCTCTTCTCCTTAAAATCGCTTGCGGACACACTATTTAACGTCATCAAAGTGGTGGTTAAGGTTAGGAATAAGGTTATGGTTAGGGCTAGGGAGAAGGTTAGGTTTAGGGCTGGAATACAGGGCTGGAACGACAATTTGACAAATGATCAGGAAATAAACATTTTTCTTTACAACCTGTGATTGCCAGAGTCACTGACTGGTATCTCAGCCTGTGTTACTGGATCCTTAGTTAGCTCACTGAGATACGTTATTGCAACTAGAGCAAGACACCATAAGCTGAGGTTGCATTGCTTTTCATGAGTCTATTACTTTTTCCTTTCATGGGTGGAGTGTATAAAAGAGGACTTGAAGTGGATGCTTCAAGAACAACATGCAAGCCATTCATTGACTGCTTATAACCCAAAAAAAAAAACAAAACAAAAAGACAAACCACAACAAAAAAACCCCATAAAAGTCAACATAACAGGAATCTAAAAGAGTATTGAGATCACAGAAACACACAGCAATCAGAAAAAGAACAAAGACGAAAAATATCACGAGACGAAAGAAGCAGACAGGAGTAGTTATACACTCAAACAAAAAGTCAAGACTAGTTATACACCCTGAGCTGATTGGGAACAAGAAACAAAAGAAGAATGAGAGACAAGTGTGAGCAATCAGGATCATCAGATAACAAAAGTAATATATATATATGAAGGAAAACTGACCTTAAAGGCAAAACAGGAAATAAAAGAAACACACAAGCATAACTAAGCATGGAACAGGCACAGAAAACAGTGAAGGAGCTACAACTTATAAAAATCACAAATCTAAACCAAAACATTGGATTGCAAACCTGAAACTCATCACTAGACTAAACATAAAGGTAGAATAAGGACTCAAAATCACATGAACTATGACTCACACCTGTACAGTGTCACTAAAGCAGAAACCCAAAGATCGCTAAGAAACAGTAAGACCAGCACATTTTATATGTGAGTGTTTTGTTCAGTTCATTTTGTTGTAGATAGTGAAATAATTTTTGAAACAGCTCTTCTACAGAAACATCTCTTTGCTAGAAGGCCCTAAAAAGGCAGCCAGGTGACCGTAATTCTTTTCATTTTATAAATATTTATTAGTCACTTATTAGCCAGTGTTGTAACATTTGGTGAGAGCTGATATCCAAAAAGAGTAACAGGATTAAGTGGAAGGCGAGCACTTAACATCTGTTAATTAACAGACATTTTTCTTGACAGATGTTTGACTTGTCACAGTAGGAAAACGACAGGTGTATTAATGATGGCTGCATTACACTGGCACATTACACGTACAGGGTATGAGATTATAGCAATTATGTGATAGGTTTAATGAAAGCTAAGCTGTGTGACATGGATTGAACCTTACCGTTGAGTGAGACATCAAATTTAATGCATTTAGACTGCATCATGATAAAACTGCTGCAATTTCTCTGCTATTTCTTTCCACACTGTGTCATTCCTGGTGTGGTCGTGATAACAGCTGGAGGACACATCAGGAAATAACTGCCAGAGCTCGGCTACAGAAAACCTGCTCTGAACATTTTACCTCCATCGGTTTCATAATGCTGCCATTATCGTGATGTTATCTATATTGTTTATTGCTCCTTTTGTGGTTGGGTCATAGATTTATGTATGTTATGTATAGCAGCGTGTTAATTTCAAAGTTTTCTCCCAGGCTGTCTTTGGTCTGGGAGTCTGCCTTTGGGACTGTGGACCCAATTTGAATATATTTAGTATGCTTTATGTTTATTTATTCAACATATTTTCATTATTTTCCAATTCTCCCCAGATTTTTAATGATTTGTTTGAAAATATCATTAGAGTACACAGACTTTCAGATTTTAAGCATTTTAAAATCAATTAAGCAATCAAGTGCCTAAAGTATGAAATCAAATACAGATACTGCTACAGTCAGTAAGTGTTATGCTTTAGTTTAATTATTGGTTATTTTTATAGTGAGTTTTATTTCGCTCTAACTGTATATGACGCAGACAGAAATTCCTGTCTGCACACACAAAAAAACAAGCAATGATTCAGTGAACAATGACCAGACTTTCCAAAATTTCCAGTTTTATTGTTTTAACTGTCTGCAAGTATCGAGGCCATGTCAAAAATGTAGTTCTTTGAACGGCCTTTGATGTATAACCTATAAATAAGAGAGACATTACTTTGCCCGAAATCCTGGTCCAGCAAATGCTGGTGATTTTTGAACAGTGTTAGCATATGGTGCTAACTCTGTTTGGATTGTGATCAGTGATTTCTTATAAACCAGAAGTTTGATCATCGCCTATTTGTAATGTTACTAAAACACAGTACGCAAAGAACTGCAACAGTTTGACATCTTCGAGTTAATCATAGATAATAAACTTTTTCCATGTTAATTTAGAAGTTTTGGAATTTTTGACGTTAAAAGGAGGAAAAAAACAAAACAAACCCTTTCAGCTTGGTTTTCGCACACTGCGTCATCTCTCTGTGGTTTCTCACTGCTTCAGCACTTGTTCCCTATAGCTTGGCCTTGGGTGGGGAGAGGGGTGGGGGAGGCTGTGATCAACTCCACAAAAACTCAAGAGGACGCTATGATGGTCCTAATCAGAGATGGGGAAAGAAAAATGCATGTAGAGAAAGGCGGAGTGATTGGGCAAGAGAGGCAGAGAGGGAGAAAGCAGCCTCAAGGAAAGACCCATTTCTCTCCTGCACATTGCACATCCACCACAATGCAGCCTTCACAAATGAACGCGATGTCAGACCTAACTTATCATGACATCGAGCGAATTATTTCATTATTACGATGGGAACATTGATTAGTGAAGATGTGCAGTGTAGTGTAAACTAAGTAAATCTCCAGACCAGTTACCATAGATTGTGGTGTATATTTGCTGCTGTTATACGTTGGCATAAAGGCAGTGCTATTCAAATGTGCAATGCACCCATGCACAAATTCATTAGTACACATCCTTAAATGCTTAAGCAAGCAGCTAATGATTTAATTTGAATGGGGGAAATAGGACAACAGATGCAGAAAACAGAACAGAACGAGAGAGCAAGAAGAGAGCGGGCCACTATGAAGAAGTGTGACAAACAGAGGGAACAAGCAGCATGCAGGATTCCTGTTCACTCTGGCGTACATACATCCCTTTTTAACAGTCTTTTGTGCTCCTTTTTTATTCATGGCCTGAGGCTCCAGAAACTTTGGACTAAATATACCTGTACACACTTAGAGGGAGGCTGGGCTGGTGGGGAGTTCAGCTCTGACCCAGTGTGGAAATGATCTCCTTTTCCTCCTGATTTCAATCTTTGGGAAAAGCCTGTTGGTCTCTTAGCAAACATGGTGGATAGTTTAAAAATGATAGCACTGATTTACCATCCCCCTTAAAGACCTGGGAATATTCAGCACTGAGCTTCTATGTTCCCCTCCTGTCCGTGTCTGCCTGTTTGTTCCTCAGGTAGTGGATAAGAACGCCCACATGGCGGTGGGTTCGCTCACCATCAACGAGGAGAGGTCAGAGGTCATCGACTTCTCTGTGCCCTTCATTGAGACGGGCATCAGTGTCATGGTCTCCCGTAGCAATGGGACCGTCTCCCCGTCGGCCTTTCTAGGTAAGTAAAAACACAACTGATGGTCCTGGCAGATGTACAGCACAATCAAGAACAATCAGATGCGCACACACGCTCGTATCGCATAATAAATGCAGAATCACAGACAGAGACGACACTAGGTTTTCAACAAAATGAGTACATTGCTTGTTTGTGGTGAACAACCTGTTCTGGCAGCAATAAAAAGGAGACATAAAAAGCAACAGGGAGCAAGATATCACTTGAAAAAGGTATGGCTGCAGTGATGAGTATTGAAAAAAGTTTCAAGAATAATTTTTATTGTTGGAATTCAATGCAGGTTTACAGAGAAATGATAAATTTATGGCCTTGAAAACAGCAGCTGACAAAAAAATCTCACTACAAGGTCCACGGAGAGGTTATTCTGAAAGTTTAATGGAATAGCAGATGTTCAACATTTTTAGGAATTTTCTTTCTTAATAATTGAAGAAGGAGCTTAAAGTTCTGTCCTTTTTCCTTTGTGCCAGAGAATCTCATTTCATGTTGCACACGGGGGCAGGCGTTTTTCACACATTTATCAGGACACTCTTTCTGTTGTTCTAAAGCTCATTGGGATGTTTTAAAGTGAAAAAGGAGTAGGCAGAAACTACAATCGTCTTGTTTTGTCAGCTAATTTTTCATGATTTGACAAATGCAGTGTGTTTCCAGTGCATGTTTCCGTCAAAGTAAAAGGTCCTCTGTCCTTTATTAGTTTAGCTATTTATAATATTTAAAGCGCTGGCAGTAAAAATATAATAAGCCTGTTACAAAAACACGTTTCTTTCTTCTTTCATTTCTTAAGTTGAATCCACAAAAAAACAGGTATTAAATATTTTTGCACCAACAAGGTGATTCCCAAAGAGCTATTACTTAAAAACTTCAAAAAATATTTGAGGAAACTGCACAAGTGGAGGACAAAATTCATTATTAAGCAAAGGACACACAAGAACTGCACTGAAAATCAGTGACAATAGGTCTGATGGAGTGGCCCTGTCATGGTTTGGGGATGCGTTTCGGCAAAGTGTTGTTGGGGATCTTGTCAAAATTCATTAGAATTATAAACATCCATCAAAGTTTGATCCACCGTGTAACACCATCTGGTAAGTGTCTGATGGGCAAATTAATTAAGTAATAATTACGTTTTCAGCATCACAATGATCCCAAAACACTTAAAGAACTATTCCTATAGAAAGAAATGACAAAAATGCTGCCTAAGAGAGTTGACGTACCAAACATCGACTCTCAAGCTCATTACAATTGTACAAACTCTTTTTCCTTATATACTTACATGTTGTATTTCCAGATATGTTTACACACATTTCAATAAAGAAAATGTCCCATTTTCTAAGCAAAACGTAATGAAATGAGGGGTTGTTAAGACTTTAAACAGTACTATAAATATGCTGATTTGTTATTGTTTAAAAAGTGATGTAATGTAAAGAATGAAAGGAAAAGAGTTGGACCTCATGAAAGTGCTTAGAAAAGTGAAACTGCAAAATACTATAGAGCTGAAAATTGGACAAATTTAACTGACTGTGAACTGCTCAGGAAGAGCTGTCTGGTGAACCTTTGGTGGGGATTGTTTTGTCAGCTACAACACTATGGTGTTTGTCACAGACCATAATATACGATACAAACTACAAAGCAATTGGAAAACGTGCCTCCTTCTCAGTGTTTCTCTTCAGAGGTGCTTGTTAGTGTTCACAGAAACTCAGACAAAATCCATAAATGTGACAAGCACAAAGCACATAGCGTCTGAATACAAATAAGCATGTTGATACCCGAGGGGTGGTGGTGGGGAGGAGGGGGTGGGGGGTTATATTATAATTTACTTTCATTTGCTTTAATGAACTTCCTTTCTCTGTCTTCTCACAACCTCCCTCCCTGTTTCCCTCTCGCTTTCAGAGCCCTTCAGTGCCGACGTCTGGGTGATGATGTTTGTGATGCTGCTGATCGTGTCGGCAGTGGCTGTGTTTGTGTTTGAGTACTTTAGCCCGGTGGGTTACAATCGCTGTCTGGCAGACGGACGAGGTGAGAGGACACACACGTCCATTAACACACAAACCCAGACCCACTCGATTCCTGCTGCTAAAAGGTAACAATGAGGTACATTTTTAGGCAATCTGATGTGCTCTAATGCAGTCTTAGCCAGCAGGCTTTGTTAACTTGAATGCAGCATTCAAACTGAGCCCTCCAGGTGCTAAATTACTTTGACAATCCCGTCTGAATGAGTTCAACTGGAGCTCTGGGACTTCCTACTTGATGTCTTGAGTGCTTATCTGCATCTATAGTCACTTAAGCTCTTTCACTAATGAAAAGGATCATTGGCAAGAACCAGATAGCTGATCTTAAGTATTCTTAGCATCGCTGCGCAAAAACAAAGACTCCTCTGTTCCTGCATTACAAAATCGTTTCTGTTCTCAAATATTACAGCAGCATTACACCGCCACATCTACGGTTGTAAAACTGCTGAATACAGTTAACAAGATCTGGTACCTTACACTGAAAATGTATGTCAGGTCTAATGATGTCTGACAGTATCAAACAACACTACCCTGTTGAATCAAATGCAGTCTCAGCACTCCATTCATATCAACTTGCCTATCAAAATCAATGGCTCAGATTCATTCTGGGTTTCCTTTTTTTCCCCTCTAGCTTTTATATGCTCGCTCTGTTTGACTCTGAGGATTGTATTAGGTTGCCACAATAGCAACCTCTCAAGATAAAATCAGAGAAGTGTTATATTGCTGCTTACAGCCTTTTTTTTCTTTCAAGGACCGAAGGGAATAAAATAGTTTGGAGTAATGTTTCCTACAGTGCTGTTTTCTGAATGTCTTATGGGTTGTGTCACTTAATCGCTGGGTTGTGTAAGGCTGTTGTCCTGTACTGCTGCTGCAGCTGTAGCATATGTAATTGCAGCCTGCTGTGCGCCCATCTCCCCCCCACCTCCCTTCGTCCCTCTCCTCATTTCTGTGGTAGGTAGTGTATCCTTCCTGCCACCTTGTCATACTCCCGTAGAGGTAGGTGGAGCAGAGTTAGTGGTGTGTAACAGTGGGTTGTCATTGCTGTGTCTGGAAGAACAGATGTTGACTGTAGAGCACATCCTGCGATCACTGACAAACTAAAGGATGGGGCTAAATCTATGCCGTGTTTCTCCCATCCATCAAATGAGTCCTTCAATGAGTAAATGCAGATAAAGCAAGGTAATACCTGTGATCTGTGAAACTGATCCCTTTTTCTTCTCCCCTTTTGCTTTGCATCCTCCTCCTCCTCCCCCTCCTCTCCTGTCATTCTGTCTCCCAGAGCCCGGCGGCCCCTCCTTCACCATCGGTAAGGCCATCTGGCTGCTTTGGGGTCTGGTTTTCAACAACTCTGTCCCTGTGCAGAATCCCAAAGGCACCACCAGTAAGATCATGGTGTCAGTGTGGGCCTTCTTTGCTGTCATCTTCCTGGCATCCTACACTGCCAACCTGGCTGCCTTCATGATCCAGGAGGAGTACGTTGACCAGGTGTCAGGCCTGTCAGACAAAAAGGTGTGAATTTAAGGCAATGTGATAGTTTGTGGGGTGAAGGAGCACATGGGTGTGAACACATGTGAGAGTGGGCTACTTAATTTGGAGTGAAACTAGTGTCTGTTTTATTATTTTTTTATTAATTTACTTTTTCTATTTAGAATGAATATTCAATTCAGTTTTATTTATATAGCAGCAAATCACAACAACAGCCACCTAAAGGTGCTTTATTTTGTAAGTTAAGGAGCCTGTATTACTGCAGACAGCAGCCTGCTTTGAGCAAGCACACAGTGGGAAGGAAAAACTCACTTTTAACTGCAAGAAACCTTCGACAAAACCAGGCTCAGGGAGGAACAGCCATCTGCTGTGACCGGTGGGGGGTGAGGGGAGGAAGATGAGACCAAAAACCCCCAAAATATTATGGATGAGTGTTTCGATTCAGTGCTTTGAACTTATTTGATCTCTCTGCTAACTTGCTACTGTAGCTAGTTTTGATGCAGGTGCAACATGTGGTTTTTCAGAATGGGGCCGTTAGCTTATTGTAACTGGTAGTTTAATGTAATAGCTCAGTCACAGAGTAAAAATAGATAGAACCTCCTTACAACAAATAAAAAAAATGCTTGCCTGGCGGTTGCATTTAAATTTTTATTTTTCCTCTGTCCAGAGGTCGAGGGTGTTACACTCTCAACATCTTTCCACACTTGATTGCAAAACGATTGCACAGATTGCTTCTCATAAGGGGACACAACCCTGTATGGATGGATGGATGAGACTGATGTGCATTTTGAATTTGCCATTTAATCTAGAAAAATTAAAAAATTTACGATTGCATCAAGTAATTAAATAAGAAATAAAACTAAGAAACTAAAACTGCTGCTTTGATCTTTTCAGCATTTTTATGCTTCTAACATAAATTGCACATCTTTATTCTGAACTTGATCTGATGAGTCATACATATTTGTCTAAACATGTCCAAGGATTCTTCACATCTCTAAACAGTTAGTTGATTTTAAGCTTGCTAAAGTCCTGCTTAACAGTGCATTAAAAGGCTATTTGATGCAGCTCACTGCTCTTTTCTCTGTGTGTTTTCTTTTCCCGAAACCCCCCACCGCAGTTCCAGAAGCCTAACGAATTCTCGCCGCCGTTCCGGTTCGGCACAGTGCCCAATGGGAGCACAGAACGCAACATCCGCAACAACTACCGGGACATGCATGCCTACATGACGAGCTTCCACCAGAAGAATGTAGACGAAGCCCTGTACAGTCTGAAGACTGGGTGAGGAGCAGAGAGATAGCGGGCCTGATGTGGGACGCTAGGAGGGAGTTGAAAAGATTTCAGGAGGGAGAAGAGAGACTGTGTTATGGAGCCGTAAGGTCCTGTACTGATGCAATACACAGAAAAGATGATGAAGGAAAAAGGAGAGGGAGACAGAGGAAAAGAGAGCATTCTGGGTAATGTGGGTGGGCAGCGTATCTGCCTGCCACTGGCACCCAGAATAGCAGCGTAGCATGCGTTTGCTCTGAAAGCTAGGTAACATCTTTACTTCCTCTTCACTCTTTCTCTCTCCCTGTCTTCAAACGCTTTCACCCACCACGGCTGAAGAAAACAGAACAGGGACGAACCTGTGATGAAGGGCACAGAGGTCCTGGAGCCCTGAGGGGCCCTTGGTGGAGATTTGTCACCAATCTGAAGACCGTCATGTCATTGTATCTGTTAACCCAGGGTTAATATGGATAGAACACAATGCAGAGGTTTTACAGGAAACATGGCAGTTCACCACCCCAGACCCTGAAACACTTTGGTCTCATGGTCAGTTTAGTTACTGAGCTTGAAGATTCGTTCTCAACACTGGAAACAAAAGTGATATATTTTACTTCTTCACATCTGAATGGAATTGGTCATTTAAACAGCGAGGTTTATATTTGAACTCTATGACCGGTGTTTAGGTGTTATCTATCACCTAAACAATTTCCATGACAAGAGAACAACCTAAAATAGATTCCTTTCCTCATTACAGAAGAGTTAATGGCCTAAATTTCTCCTACCTGGTTTACTGTACTAATTTATATTTTATTTGTATTTTACTTGAATTGCCTCTGTGCTATTACTGCCTTAAAAAGATCACACAGTCTTGCCTTGTAGCACTTTATATGAGAGAAACTCAATTTCCTTGTAAATTTTCTCAGTGTTTTGCAATTTCTTATTAACTGTTACCTGAAAAAAAGAGAATTAATACCAATTAATCATAAACAAGCATAGCTTGGAGTTTGCAGTCAGTGCAGTGGATACCAGGTCAGGTCAACATGCAAAAATGTGCAGAGACAAACATATCATTAAAAATGACTTACCTGCCTTTTTTCTTTACTGCCTAATCACACCGTACTTTACAGGGAACCTCTCAGACCATTCAATGACACAGATGATTGTGATTCAGTGTCTTAAAATCTCCATTTGACATAATGAATCGGTGATTTGAACATTGTCACTATTTGTGGTGAAGGTGGCTTCACAGCTTTGACTTCCAGCTCATTTTTCTTCTGTCATCCTTCACAGCAAATTGGATGCCTTCATCTATGACGCTGCAGTGCTAAACTACATGGCTGGCAGAGATGAGGGGTGTAAGCTGGTCACCATCGGGAGCGGCAAAGTGTTTGCCTCCACCGGATACGGCATCGCCATTCAGAAAGACTCAGGGTGGAAACGGGCTGTGGATCTAGCTATTCTGATGCTATTTGGAGATGGTAAGGACTGAAATGATGCAATACAGGAAATTAATAAATATTCTAGTGTCTTGTATCTCATATAACAATTATACAAGTTATGCAAGTCATCACAGTCTTAAAAGATTAGATAATTGTCATGTAAATTTAGTTTTTTAAAGATAATGATTTGTTTTTAGTGTCATAACTGCAGTGACTATTGCCTACTGCAGAGAGGGCTTGGGCAAGTAATGTTGTGATAGTGATATTACAGGCAAATTAAATAGACCATTACTTTTAAGAAACTTCTGCTGCAGCCTTAATTTGTACAATAATCATTCAGGTTGAAAATAACAAAGTGAAGTCATGCTCTCATCGGGGTAGTAAAACTGGAGTCATGGAAGGAGCAGTGACTCAGAAGGTGGCCGGTACTCGCTATGGTGACAACCCAAGAGCCTGCTGATGAAACCCAGCAGTCAGCGAGGCTGTCGAGCTGCAGGATGAGGCCTCCAGAGCCAGGTTGGCTCATCGCAGGCCTTAATCAACAGCGCGGTACCAGCAGGCCTGAAAGGCTGCAGCTGCTGTGGCTGTAGAAATGAAAGTTTCAACGGGGGATGGTTTGGTTATTTGGTAGCTCGGGAGGTGTTTTTGCAAAAGCCCGCTTTGGCAAAGAAATTAAATATTGACCTTAACTGAACATTGCTAGGAGTAAAGCTGGACAAAGGTGGTCTTGAAATGCTGAACCCTGTAGATGTTGTTCGATTGTTGTGATCGTCTTATGTCTCCACATTGATTTCAGGAACAGGGCCTACGGAACGGCAGAGTGATTAGGTGGAAAAACCAAATTCAGCTCGAACACCTTAAATATATTTGATTTGTTCAGGCTCGGTCTGGAGCACATCAGTAAGGATGGTCCTATACATATATCAGTGACATGATTTGAATGTTTGTCTGCAGCAGTAATATATCGAAGGGGGTTTGATACGGCCATTAAAAATTCTATATTTCGATTTCGACTCTGTTTTGAGTCAAAATAAAAATATAGTAACTTTGCTTAAGTCAAAGTTTTCTTTTTACCTTTGTAATATTGAACACCCATAGATCATCCACTGTCTGAAATAAGCAGTTTTAGCACCTCTTCTGACTTTAAGCCTCCTTTACTATGATTGACTGCCCCTCGTGAACACAAGGTATGGACAGCAGGTGGGTGTGTTCATCTCAGGTGGGTATGGTTACCAGGTAGGTATTGTCTGGTAGGTATAGCCATCTTAAACAGAAAAATAGGAATAGGGATGTTTACTGTCATTCACAAAAATCCAAAATTAGAAAGAAAACTGGCCATATTTTATCACACACACACACACACACATATATATGTATTTATACATATATCTGTGTGTGTGTGTGTGTGTGTGTGTGTGTGTGTGTGTGTGTGTGTGTGTGTGTGTGTGTGTGAGAAAAGAATAATAGGTCCACTTGAAAGTAAAGTCCTTCCCATTTTTTGACTGATGTACAGTTTAATAGATACAGACATATAAAAACTTTAAAGCTCAGTCTACAATGAAAAGTACATACATTTTTAAAACCTTCACCACCTCCACTGGGTGATACGTGATATGTGCAGGGAGTTCTGGGGCTGAGTGCTTATAACCAGCACATTTATCTTTCTTTAAATTGGTGCTGCAGCTTCATCATATATTATGGTGGCACCATTACATCAATATGGTGTTATTTCAATATAAAGGAGGCAGAGTCCTGAATACAGGACTCAAAGGAGAGGAACTAGAAAATAATGGTGTTGACACCGTCTGTGAAATGTGATACTGTATGCATCACAGAGCAATGCTCTCAGTTTGCCGGTTCTGTTTTGTTTTAAGCTCCAGCTCCGTGTGTTTTGGGTGGTGACTGAAAGAAAGCAGCAGGATGTTTGATGTCATTCTAAAAGAGTGATGATGATGAGAGCACTGATCCACGAGAGGCTTAGTATTGAGCTGCCACCCTCTACATGATCAGAGTATTGGGCTAGCAAACAAGGTTTGGGTACACAGTGATGGTGCAAACTTTGCAACTCCTTTTGGACGAGGGTTGGCTACAAACTGCTGGCAGAGGTTCGTGCAGTGAGATAGGTGACAAATGAAACTATAGTGAACCTAGAATGAATTCAGCTCATCTGTATCACAGTCCTGTGAAAAACCAAGTACACTCCATTATTCAAAGCTTGTAGAACCACCTTTAGCAGCAATAACTTGAATTTTTTTTGTGTGATTTTGTCAGTCTCTCACATCTTTGTTGGGGGATTTTGCCCCAGTATTTTTTACACATTGCTTCAATTGATTGATTTTTGCACTCATTTTTTTATGCACAGCTCTTTTAAGGTCTGACCACGACCTTTGATGTGTGGATTTTGACTGGGCCATTGCAACAGCTTAGTTGTTTTCTTTTTCAGCTATTCTGTTATAGATTTGTTGGTCTGCTTGGGATCATTGTTCTGTTGCATGAACCAAGCTTTAGGGAGTTCATGGCTGACTGAATGACTGCAATGGGCCAAGGTCCTGTGGCTCAAATCATCACCCCGCCACCACCATGCTTGACAGTTAGCATGAGGTGTTTTCGCTGATATGCTGTTTCGAGTTGTGGTGGTTTTCTCCAAACATAGACTGTGCATTCTGGCCAAAAATCACCTTGGTCTTGTCTTTCCAAAGAACATTATTCCAGACGTCTTGTGATTTGTTCAGATAAACTTTGCAAACTTAAGTTGTTTTGCCATGTTCATTTTTTTTGAGAAAAGCAACCTATCCAAACAGGACATACTGGTTTGGGCTTTTTCTAATTGTACTGTCATAACACGCTAACTAAGGCCTGTGGAGTCTGATTTGTATCTACAGAGTTTTTTTGCAGTTTCTCTGAGTCTGACTTTGGGGTGAATTGGAGTTGCTGGGATGTCCACTCCTCAGAAGATTGTGGCGTTGTATTAACATAGACCTTAATGCTCCAGACCGGAAAACTGAAAACTTTTCTGCTTTTGTAGAAGTGTATACACTAGATGTCAATCATTTACTCAAGCCCGTAGCATCTGGCTGCTACTTACCCTCTGAATTCCTGAGGAAGCAGTAAGGGTATACTTAGTTTTTCCTAGGACTGCACTGAAACCTGGGAAAGCTCTTTTTTTCATGTGACTGTACATACTGTAAATCACCAATTGTCACCAACTTGTCAGTGGTGGTAGTTTCTCCACCCATGAAACGTGCAACTGCTGAATGTAGACTGTGTTATTTGTATAAATTAGTCCAGTCAGAAATGTTAACAAGGGAAAAGTTCGAGGGGTACTCCAGGGGGAACTAAAGCACCCCAGGAAAATAGTTTGATGTCCTTCGCATATTGGCTCCTGTAGCTGTGAAAGGGAAATGCAGTCTAATTAATTAATTTAAATGAAATGACCGACCCGGAAGAGTCTGTCTGATATTTGTGTGAAACAGAAAATAGAGTCTGACCTTTAAAGTTATATATTCAATACTGTTCAAAAGTCTCGAACCATCCTGCGTTTCTTTATATTTTGTTTCCAGACTTTCTGGTAATTTTTTAAAAGAGGTCTCGAGGCTTTCAGGAGGACTTTCAAAATGTTTCTTTGGATATCGACTGCTTTTTCACTAGTTTTCAGTCTAGTTCTTGTAGCTGATTATTTTCAGGGATTTTTTTCTTCTTTTTTTTTAACCACATAACTGTGACCTATGAATTATTCAAGCATAAAAAGACACCACACTCAAGGTATAAAGGTGTTGTGTCAATACATAACAGACAACCTAGCAAAGATTCTGCTGAAGCCTAATCAGAAATGGTCTCTTCCTTAAGAAGCCAATCTTACCATGATACCATGCATCTGATTGGCAACAGTTTCAGTTTTCAGCATGACAATGATCCCAAACGCTCAGCCAGTGCAGTAAAATAGAACCTGAATAATAATGGATTGGATTTATATACTGAGTTCAGGTCCTGAGTTCAATTCCACCATCAGGCCGGGGTCTTTCTGTGTGGAGTTTGCATGTTCTCCCCGTGTTTGCGTGGGTTCTCTCCGGGTACTCCGGCTTCCTCCCACCGTCCAAAGACATGCAGCTTGTGGGGACAGGTTAATTGGATAACCCAAAATTGTCACTAGGTGTGAATGTGCAAATGAATGTGAGTGCAAACGGTTGTTTGTCCCTGTGTGTTAGCCTTGTGACAGACTGGCGACCTGTCCAGGGTGTACCCCGCCCCTCGCCCTATGACAGCTGGGATAGGCTCCAGCACCCCCCGCGACCCTGAAAAGGATAAGCGGAAGTGAATGGATGGATGGATTTATATAGCGCTTTTCAAGGCACCCAAAGCGCTTTACAATACCACTATTCATTCACTCTCACATTCACACACTGGTGGAGGCAAACTACGGTTGTAGCCACAGCTGCCCTGGGGCAGACTGACAGAAGCGAGGCTGCCATATCGCGCCATCGGCACCTCTGGCCAACACCAGTAGGCGGTAGGTGAAGTGTCTTGCCCAAGGACACAATGACCAGGACAGAGAGTGCAGGTTACAGATACGCCTCCCAACCCCCTGAGCCACGGTCGCCCCATGTTACACTTTCTATTCAACACTGAGTGTTTTGAATAGAAAAACACTCAGCATGACTCACCTATCAGTCATGGATTGGTCTGTCCAGAGCCTTGACGGCAACACTGTTGAAGCAGTTTAGGATCATTTTGACTGAGAAGAGAACAAAAGGCAGCCAACATCCAAAGAAGAGCTTTGAATGTCTTTGAAGAAGCCTTCAAAAACATTTACTCAAGACTACTTAAAGAAACTACCAGAAAGCTTGTTCACAGAAGTTCACGATGTGTTGAAGAATAAAGGTGGTCATACCAAAAATTTACTTTTAAGTTTGTTAAAACTGTACAAATTCTGTTTTACTTATTATCTTTTCATCTTTGATGGCATGTTTCAGTAAACTTATTCCTCATTTTCCAAGCAAAATTTTAAAAAAATGAGGGGTGGCTCAAGACTTTTGCACAGTACCCTACTGTACTAAAAAAATAATAGTGAAACTACCGCCTTGGTCTACTACCGTTACATTTTGTACCTCAGGAAATAAAAGACACAACTGTTCCTGATGTGAATCTTTGCCTTCAGAGAATACACCCTCTCCACTTCGACTGATAGCATGTCCTCCACACTGCTCACCTCACTACCTGCCAGATCTTATACTCTACAGCACGCTGACACACACTCATACATACACAGACGTGGCCTTCCAGGTGCTATCACTTTCCATTGTGTCGTGCGAGATGGATAAAGAGGTCAGTACGGAGAGAACATTCACCTTGGATCAGATCGTTCGGAGTCAGATTGATCCAGACGTCGACACACACTGTTGGGAACTTCCCGAGTGGCGTACATTAAAGTGCTGGCTTGTGAAAGGATGTGATTGTGACATGTAGCTGTGTGGATGCTTGAGTGTTGTGACACATCTCCACGAATTTATCCAAATGGAAGTAAAATCTTGCCGTGTACACGAGGCCAGCACATCAAGCATTACCTCTCATTACCTCTTGCAGATTGTTTGGCTGTCAACACACATACAGGTTAAGAGATCAGACTCATCGATGTTTGCTCATTTCTGTTGCTTCCTGTTTGAGTCAAGTTGTATGCAGAGGGGAAGGGGTCAGTAGCGGCTTTGCAACAGGAAATAGTGGAACTGCATACAGAACAGCCAGGAATGATGCAAGATCAGGAGGAACAGGTAAAGGTGGAGGAGAGGGGTGGTGTGGGAACAATGAAAAATAAGAATAAGCAGAGTAATAGGAGAAGAATTTTAATCATAGATATTTCTTTCACATGATAAATTCTGCTCATTAATCTAATATATCATCAATTTGGTTCACATTCTACAAAAAAAGCGCAAGCTATGCAGATTTAATAGCAGTAAGTATTCAGTTTGGAGAGCTGTTGCAAATTGTTTAGATGAATCAGTCATGCTGGAGCTAAACATCTGTTTGGAAATTTAAAGGGAATCAATGAATTCCCATTTGTGCTTTGTAGTCACAAGTCAGTCTAAAAAGTAGGTTATTCTATCAAATATTTCTCAGGCAATCTCCCACCACTTTGATCATTTAAATTTCCTTTTTGAGGCCATTTATTTCCCAAATCTTTCTGCCCTAATGTGACGTGATGCTCATTCTATTGTTTCAGCTCTGTTGATGTGACAAAAGTAGTTCTTTAATCACCAAAAAAATCACCTTGCAACGGATTGCATTTCCCCAAGTTGAAAGGTTATACTCCTTGTTTTAGTCCATCCAATGACTATCTGTGTGTTACTCATCAGCATGAAAAAACTGTCAGCCCCCCACTTTAATACTACCACATAACACAGTGCTCTGTATCCCTCACTGAGGCTCATTTTGGTCTTAATGTACCAACCTACTGTTTGTCCCAGCAAGTCTAATACTTTTGTTTTATCAATGGAGTCTCAAACACGTGCACAGCTTTGCCGTCTTCATTGGCACTGTGTCTCTTACTCTCACCTCGACATATGGACATAGATGACATGCATATTTTGTTTTTTTTAACATGCAGGGTTAATATTTTATCCTAAGCAACAATCTTTCCCTAAACCAAAGTAGTTTTTCGTCAATACACCCAAACAAAAATTAAATGAACACAAAAGTTGAAAACTGTAACTAAAAACAGAATGCATCGATTTGCAAATATTCTAAACCCATGTTTTATTCACAGTAAAATGCAGAAAACATGACATTTTGAAAGTGAGACATTTTTATTTCATAAAACAAATATTAGCTCATTTTGAATTTGGCAGTAAACGTTGGGTAACAAAAGGCTGGAAAATTAAGTGGTACTAAAAAGAAACAGCTGGAGGAACATTTTGTAACTAATTAGGTGAACTTTCAACAAGTCAGTAAAATGATTGGACCATCGAGCGGCAGATGGCCGCCCATCCCTGAGCTTCATTCTTCTGGAGGTTTCTTCCTGTTAAAAGGCATATTTCCTTTCTACTGTCACGCAAGTGATTACACATGGGCTACATGTGATTGTTAGGGTTTTCTCTGTATTATTGTAGGGTCTTTACCTTACAGCATAAAGTTGTATTGTTGTGATTTGGTGCCATATTAATAAAACTGAATTGAACTGAACTATAAAGAGAGCATGTTTGACAGGCAGAATTTCTCAGAGGCAAAGATGGACAGAGATTCCCCAATCTGCAAACAAAACTGTGTCTGCAAGCTGCGGAACTTCATCCTAATTATAGAAGATTGTTCTGCAATGTAAAATTGCAAAACTGAAGTTCTAATCATGTATATTACATAGTATCAGCAAAACATCCAGAGAATCTGGAGAAATCTCTGTGCGCAAGGGACACGTCCATAAATCAAAACTGTTTGTAATCTTTGGGCGCTCAGGCAGGACTGCATGATTCTGTCATAGAAATCACTGCACGGACTCAGAAACACTTCCAGAAATCAGTGTCTGTGAGACGACTGCGTCATCTAAAAATGTATGTTGCAAAAACGTAGTCATATATGAAAATGATCCAGAAACACCGCCGTCTTCTCTTGACCTGAGCTCTTTGAAAATGTAATAAGACTAAGTGGAAAATGTCAATTTTGAATTTAAGATTCTTTTCGTAAAACATGAATTCTGCATTCTCCAGACCAAAGAGAAGAGGCTCCATCTGGCTTGTAATCAGAGCTCAGTTCAAAAGCCTGAATCTGGTGTTAGAGCATTCTCATTCCCAACGTGTCACATACTGACGATTTGTAACGGCCCGAGGCATTGCATAGTAACGCGAAAGGTACCCTTCCACATCCTTTTGAGACGATCTGGATTCTCATTTGAATCTAACAGATTACCGCTTGTGGCGGTAACACATCTCCGTTTCCAGAGCAGAGGCGCCAGCCCTCCATTCCAGGCCTAACTATAACCTTAATCCTTAACCAAAACCTTAACCCTATCAGATCGTGTTTTCCAAAGTGATTCCAAACAGCTCTCATGCCTCCGAGCGCATAACATACTGACGATTTGTCACATAGTGTTGGGATGGGAACATGTTTGTTAGAGTCTAATGAACTGGAAAGGCACCATTGATGCTGAAAGGTATATATAGGTTTAATTAAGAGCAACATTATTATGCAGATAATAATGGACTCAACTCGTGATGTTGCTGCCATCAAATTCAAAATGACCTTATTTTGTTCTTACATTTTCTTTGTTTAAACATTTGATGTGTTTTCTAAAGTGCAAAACACAAAACTCCTAAACGATCTACAATGTAATCTGCGTGTGTTGAAAATACCAGCAATAATTTTAAAAAATGTGCATATGATACAAGCGTAAATAATCCAGAACCACCGAGCACTGGTTTGAACAAAGTCACTGTGCTCTGCTGCTTCGTGATATTTTCTATGTAAACTCAGCAGTGAGTACACAATGTTTGTTCATACTTGTTTATCCATGTCTTTTTATTTATTTCCTTTTTACTATTTGCCTCATTAGGAAGAATAGTGGAGTCAAAAAGTTCTTATTGGACTTTATTGGTGTTAATTTGTTAGTATTGTTCACTGTAAATTGACAAACACTGCAATAAATGCACAGCAATCGTAATTGTGTGGGGAAAATCTGATATTGTGTCAACCACTTCTCCCTCGACCGCTCCAACCTCCTGATGCAGACTCTATTGTTCTATAAAACAGGGCCATTATCTCGCTGTATTTAATCATCAGGACACTAGTGTTGAAGGACTTGTGTGTACTTCTGTGACACCCATCAAATCTGGTAGAAAAGCAGAATTTGACCCCTCGGGATACAAACACAGTGCACACGACCACACCTATGTGTGCAAACACTCACACACACAATAGTTTTATGTAAGCAGCAGGAAAATACCTTATACACACCATAAGCTCATACACAGATCTAACAAATCTCTCTGGACGTGTCCTCCCCCTTTAGTAATCTCCCCGGGGATGCGGAACTGGCGGCGACACAGTTTTTAGACGGAAACCCTTCTCACATGACCATGCACACTTCCTCTCCTAGGACTGCTGAGTCCCAGCAGGCAGTTGTATTTTTGGTCCCCCCCCCCACCAACACAACAAAGGGGTTAGCCTTGCATAAGCAGTCCTTAATGAGGAGGCTTGTCTGGGGGGCATTCAGTCAGAATAATAGAACGTGACATTTGTTGCATGTACATGAGACCTGAGCTGTTTTTGGCAACAATGGCCCATCTAGAAAAAACCAAACAAGTGCCGTCTTGTTTTGTACACATATTTATACATTTAGACACCTACAAACCCATCTGCATGTCACACTTGACCAGCGCTTTTGACCGGTGTGTATGTGTCTCCAGGTGAGATGGAGGAGTTGGAGGCCCTCTGGCTGACGGGCATCTGCCACAATGAGAAGAACGAGGTGATGAGCAGTCAGCTGGACGTGGACAACATGGCAGGGGTCTTCTACATGCTCGGGGCTGCCATGGTTCTGTCATTCATCACCTTCATCTGTGAACATTTGTTCTACTGGCAGCTGCGCTTCTGCTTCATGGGCGTGTGCTCTGGAAAGCCCGGATTCACCTTTTCCATTAGCAGAGTGAGTGTGCTCGTGTTTTATTTTAGGTCTGACCTCTGTCCTTCTGACAGAAAGATCACAGGAGTGGCTGTTTTGAAACCACTGGCTGTGGTTGAGGTGGATGGAGTCAGTCAGGGAGATGCGATGACTCACCTGAGCTACCTGCGGCTTCTTTTTTTTTCTTTTTCTTTTTTTTTTTTTTAGCTCAGGCTGTTGTTAACAACAAAAACAAATTCTAGTGATATAAAAAATACTCCAGATAGCTGCTAGAGCCCGTTATTATCTATTCAAACTCAATTTAATACTGCCAGTCATAGACAAAGAAGGTGTTTATCCTTTATCCAATTATGTGCATTTCAGTGTCACTTTTGTTAGTTAACATCTATTTCATATTTTATTTAGTGGAATTAATACAACAAGAAAAAATCCTATTTTACTTTATTGGTGGATTACTTTAGAGATCATTGCAGGGCAGTAACATAACTGACCTCTGAAAGCACTGATATATGGGTTTACAACAGCTGCATCTTAAATAAATAACATAGGCAACAAATGTCCTTCCAGAAACTGATCTTACCCTCTGGCAGCCATCTTGGTAACACCTCTGGGGAACTTATTTGGCATTTAATTCGAGGTCTCTGTCACACTTAACAGGGAGAAAGCCATAACTTTAATTGTAATGGTTACCAGAACTGCATGTTCACATGAAATGGTGAAAAACAGCTTCAAAAGATAGCACTTAGACTACACATATGAGAAGTTATGCAACGTTACAGCATCCAGGAGCGACAACAGCAGCTCTTCCTAAAGAGCATGGAGCAAATGCTGTGCTAAATCACATGATCAGTACAGTAAGACAAGAAATCTGAGTGAACTTGGGTGCATTTTTGTCTTTTCTATGATGACAAGTCAATATGTTGATGTTGAAGCTCTGCTGTTCACATGTCAGTGCAAAAACAGAAAAAAGAAGAAAGGACGCTTCATGGCCCTGATGTTCGATCCTGCAGGTGCTTCTCAGCAGGCCAGGTATAAGTACAAAAAAGAGAAACAAAGCCCAGGAAAACTTAAAAAAAACTTTAAAAAAAATTTCCAGCCTCTGCAAATATGACCGTAAAGAAGTACTGAGACACTTTGTCATCAGCTAAACACCCAATAACGCCCATCAACTCTAACACAAATGGCTTATCCTGTATTTTTATCAGTTTTGTTACATCCTCCTCCCTTCACCTCCAACCGGTCATGGCAGATGACCGGCCCTCGTCGATGACAGCCTCGTTCTGCTCTAGGTTTCTTCCTGTTAAAAGGGAGTTTTTCCTTCCTGCTGTCACCTAAGTGCTTGCTCATAGGGGCATGAGCACAGGGAGTCATATGATTGTTGGGGTTTTCTCTGTTTTCTCTGTATTATTGTAGGGTTACAATAAAACCTTACAATATAAAGCACCTTGAGGCAATTATTGTTGTAATTTGGTGCTACATTAATAAAACTGAATTGAATGGAATTGATTGGTTCTTTGGAAATAACAAATGAACACAAAAAGTAGGCATTTCAGAGGCTTGACACAAACTGTTTGTTATCCATATCTGAAAAGCAAATGTGCTTCTGTCTGTTAGAAATAGCTGCACTTGCAGCTGAGGTGAAAAGCGAGCCATCGTCAAGAAGCGAGACACAGAAATCATTAAGATTTGGACACATTTTCAGAGCCTCTCTCCTGGAAGTCATTCATTGTGCCGTGCTTGTAAGCAGAGGGAGTTAGCATGCTAAAAATGAAACCTGAGAGAAGCTGAAACCTTTTTTTTTTACCTTGTCACCTCCTCCCCGTGTAAATTGGGTCCATATAAATAGTCATTTGAGGTGTCAAGCATTTGCATAATGTTACCTTTTAAGAAGCAGGTTGCTGTTGTATGCAAATTGCCTTAGTTATTATTGCCCAGGAAAAAGGGACACTGCTGTTTATGGGTTTGGTCTTAAGGATGAAGGTGTTTCTAATTGTAAGGTAATCTGGTTTACACCTACTCAGAATGACCAGAAGGACAATAAAAGAGAGTGCAGGCCATAAGCGCTACTGAAGCACACTGTCTTCTGTGTTTTTGAAATGGTAGCAACCTCCATCTGTGTTAGATTTATTTTTCTTTTTTTTTTTACAAAGCGTGAGAAGAGCTTGTAACTTGTTGAATTAAATAAATTCTAGTTGCAGACAAATTTCAGAATTGTCTCCTACAACTCAAGAGCGGTTTAGTCAAGCAGATGTCTGTCATACATTTCCATGCCTGTTTGAAGATTGTAGCTGCGCTGCGAGAAAGGAGAAATATTTCCAAATGGCAGGGCAGGTCACATAAAGCAAGAAGGTGACAAGTGATGGGACAGCAAGGGGCTAAGAAAATTCAGAGACAGATCAAAAGTTAGCAACAGTCATGATAAAAGAATAAAACTGGTAACAGGACAAAGGGTAGCAGAGAACAGACACAGTGGTGTGCCTAGAACCTGTGTTTCATTACCTTTCACTGCAGCTGTAGTAGCGATAGATGCAGACAGATAAAGACAGACAATCCCATCGGAGCGGCTGCTGCTCACCAAAGCACCCGGAAACGGAGATAAGGCAGACCCAAAGACAGAATGGAGGCATAAAGGAAAAGAGGGGGTGGGGGTGGTTGACGAATCGCATTCATGAAAGTGACTAAGAGGCCGACGGAAACTGTTTCTGACAAGTTGACGCCTTTGAGGAATACTGGCCTGCACACTGGCTGGTGGGTAGTGCGTCCTCGACCTTTCAGAGTTGGCTGTTGCCTAAACCAGAGATTCCCCCAGCCCCCATTTAAATATGCTTGTTTGACTCCACTCGCAAAATCTTCCGCTCACATGAAAATGCTGCTTCTACTAACCAACCATAGCAAACACACACACACACACACTGATGGATGGTGACCTTATGAGTAAAATTTAGTCAGTGGTTATATCTTTTACCTGTGGGACAAAAGTGATTGATCCCTATTTTTTTTGTTGTTTGTTTATAAAGAGAAACAAGTAAGTAGAAAGACAGCAAGGCGAGTGTCTGCTAAATTTAAATGACATTGATCAAACCTATTGACTCACTTGCTCCCCTTGTGATATCAATTAAGGCTCTGATCTGCTCTGTCTCTTCTCACTCAGTTCTCTGTGTCTGAGGTTGAGGGCTGAGCAGCAGCTGTGAGGGTCCTCGTCGTTCCCCAGAGAAAATTCATTTATGAACTCAGACCCTATTACTGTTTAATAGTGTGTAAACAAGAGGGTGGTCATAGAGAACATGGCAATGCATTAACCTCTCTGCCTCTGCCTGTTTCTGTTTGCCTCCCTCTCCCTCTCTCCCTCTCTCTGTCTGTCTCTGTGTCTGGTATCTGCCTCCGTCTCTCTTAACATTAAACCCTCCTCTGGTTCTTGACTCCTTACTCCTGCCACACATTTTGCTGTTATTGTGATCTCTCTTGGGAGTCATACCTTATCACACTCACTCTTTCTCCCTTCCATGGTCTCACCCTCTCTTTATCTCTCTCTACCTTCCCTTTTCTTCTCATTATCAATCTGCAGGGTATCTACAGCTGCATCCATGGAGTTCAAATCGAGGAAAACAAGTCCACCATAGACTCCCCCTCATCCACCATAAAGAAGAACATGAACAACACTCACTCGAACATCCTGCGGTTGCTCCGCACTGCCAAGGACATGACTGCCGTTCCGGGCGTTAACGGCTCTCCACACGCCGCCCTGGAATATAGCCACAGCGGCCGTGAGTCGGCTATATACGATATCCAGGAGCACCGGCGCAGCCTGGTGGGTCACCCTGTAGACTGCAAGTCTGCGCCACCCTACATGCCAGAGGACAACATGTTCAGTGACTACATCAGCGAGGTGGAGAGGACTTTTGGCAACTTGCCCCTGAAGGACAGCAACTTGTACCAGGACCATTACCGGCACCACCACCCGGCTCTGGGTATGTCCGGCCCCCCGCCAAATAGGCCGCGTAGCTTAGGCAGCGCTAGCTCGTTGGAGGGGGGCATGTTCGATTGCGACAGTTTGGGGGGAGGGGTAGCGCCTATCTTCACCACCCAGCCCCGCCCCTCCATGACTCACAGGAATACCAGTAAATTTGACCTGATCGCTGGCCACACCCCTGCGGATTCCAGCCAGGGTGGGTTCAAGGGCAGCAATGTGTACGGCAGGTTTTCTTTCAAAGGAGGTGCATCCAGCACGGGGCTCATCGGGGGGCATGACAGGTACTGTGGGGGTGGGGGAGGCTCAGGGGGTGACGATGGGAACATTCGCTCTGATGTGTCGGATATCTCCACGCACACCGTCACCTACGGCAACCTGGAAGGAAACGCCAAGCGGCGTAAGCAGTACAGGGACAGCCTGAAAAAGAGGCCAGCCTCTGCCAAGTGCAGACGGGAGCAGGACGAGATAGAGCTGAGCGGCTTCAGGAGGAGACCCCACCACCACACCGTCCACCACCACTTCCCCCACGGGCCCCAGGCACACCGCACGGTCTCACCACCCCTGGAGCGGAAGAGGGGAGGAGGAGGGGGTAATGCTTCACCTTACTTATTCCGCAGGGATAAAGAGAACCTGAGGGATTTCTATGCGGACCAGTTCCGCTCCAAGGAGGGCAAGGCCATGTGGGAGCAAGAGGGTGGAAGTGGTGTGGGCGGTGGTAGCGGTGGTGGTATCTGTAAAAGCTTAGTACCTGTGGAAGACTTCCTCAAAGGTAAAGAAAAGAAATCGGATGGGCTTGGTCCGGTGTCAGCAGGGCAGCAGGCCCACACCTGCTGGGAAAAGGGGGTGTCAGGGATAGGAGGGGGTGGCATAGCAGGGGGTGACTGGGAGTGTCGTAACTGCCACAGTGTGTGCCACCATAGTGGAGGAGGCAGTACTTGTCCAGTTAGTGGAGTTGGGGGGACCAGCAGTCGTCCCAGCTCCGCCACATCCAAACGCTGTGACTCCTGTAAGATTCAGCCGAGCAACCTTTATAACATTAGTGAGGATAACAACATGATGTTCACTGGAGTTAAGGGTAGCGTAGGACCCAGCCAAACACAAACTCAGGCACAGCGCAGGAAGCTAGGGCCGGGCGGGAGGGTGTTACGGAGGCAGCACTCATACGACACATTTGTGGACCTGCAGAGGGAGGGGGCAGGTCGCATGGGGATGGGTGGGGGCGTTGGGGGACAGTTTCAACAGCCCCGGAGTGTGAGCTTGAAAGACAGAGATCGCTCCATGGAGGGCCCCAGCCCTTATGCTCACATGTTTGAGAGGTATTCAGGTGATAGAGAGTCTCCCATGTTTGGAGGGATAGGCGGGGATAGGGCCAAGGGAGGCTCCTCTTGCAGTTTGTTCCGTGGAGGCGAAGGTGGGTTGCATCGGCGGTCGGTGGGGGAAAGAGACCTGAGGGACAGAGATAGAGCTATGATGGGAGGTGGGGGCTGTGGTGGTGGTGGTGGTGGTGGTGGTAGCAGAGGGGCCGGGACTTACTCCTTGTCTAAATCTCTCTACCCAGATAAGGTGAACCAGAATCCCTTCATCCCAACCTTCGGCGACGACCAGTGTCTTTTACACGGTGCCAAACCGTACTACATCAAAAAGCCACAGACGCAGCAACAGCAGCAGCAGCAGCAACTTCTCAACAACAGCCGAGGAGGAGGGGACTTCCGCAGCTCCATGGGAGCAACTTCCTATTTGCCCGCATCCGCCACAGCTGGGGTGATGTCCAATGTGGCCCCCAGGTTCCCCCAAGAGCTGTGTCTGGGCGGGGTGGGAGGGCCCATGGGGAACCACCACGGGGGCAACAAGCTACTGCCTGGGGGCAGGGACACGTTAGGTTTGGGGCAGGGACAGAGACCATTCAACGGTGCCAGCAATGGACACGTTTATGAAAAGCTCTCCAGCATTGAGTCAGACGTTTGAGAGCGAAGACAGTGGAAGAAAGAGAGAGGCGAGAGGGAGGAGTTGAAGTGGGCGAAGAAAATGAGGGGAAGAGGAAAAAGCAGAAACAGCACAGGCTGATGACCTCTCTGCGTGAAGAAAATGACAAGGCACAATTGTGTGTATGTGTGTGTGCGCGCGCGCGTGTGTGCTGTTCTCACTCCACTAAATGGAAAGAATTTGGACAATGCACACAGGCCACTGCCGGCTAAGCTGTGGTGAAGTCCGGCGGGAGACAAGTTTTTAATGAGAAGAGAGGATTCTGGTGCTGCTCCGATGCTCAGTGAAAGATCTAAAGGGAGGGAGGGAGGAATGGGAGGGAAGTAGTAGGGAAGGGGGGGTGAAATCAAATTTCCAGCCTCTGCTCTCGTCACATGCTCTTTGTCTTTCCCTCCCTCCTGCAGCTCCTCAACACCAAAACAAACGTTTTGTTTAGCAACGGAAATACAATCATGAATGAGAAATCAACACTTCTGCTGAAGTAACAGGGTACACTAACAATAACTGTATTGATAATGTTAATAATATTATTGAATATTATTCCAGTGTTTAATGATGATCGGTTTGGATTGTTTTTAAAGTTTATTTATTTGAATAGTTCATGTTACATATTTGTATGATGTTGATTCTTTCTTAGCTTACCAATTTACAGGAGTCTGATAGACCCGATGTCGGTACAGATCTTTTTTTTCGTGGGGGGTGAGGGTGAGGGGGGGTTCCTGTAATTTGGACTCTTCTTTGCTATCAATTCTTCATGTTTTTTGTTTTGTTTTCTTTTACTTTTTTCACTTTTGATTGCCGTGAAGTGTACGTGAAAGGCATGATTTGCTGAGTACATCGTGTGTACTTGGAAAATTTGCAAAGGTCTTTTTTTTCTCAGCTGCAGAAACGACATCATCATACTGATTTGCCGTTTTGCTGTCATTTCTTTCTGCCTGGCAGTTCCAAATGGGTCTCACATTTTGAGCTGGATGTGCCTTAAAGGACTAATACTGATTCTCCATCTATCTTCTGTTGGAAAGACAGATTCACCTGCGAGTAATTAATCAATTGGTTTGAAAACTGAACATCCAAGTCACCATTTCCAATACGAGAGCAGAGTTCGAGGTGTTTAGCTGACTGTATAACACAATGCTAGACACGGAGGAAGCTTAAATTTGCACTTTGATCCCCGACCAATAAAAGAAAGCAGCGGCAGGATCGCACAGTTTAAATGCAGAATCGTCTTCTTGTATTAACGCCACAGTTAATCTAACCACAAGTAATTTTCCTTGAAATCATTTACCTCCACAAGCTTCATCACTCCTCCCCTCCTCATAACAGATGACCCAGAAGTCAACTATCCATTAATCATGTGTAAATCGTATTTAATGTCCTCTTGTTGCTGCCGTGGCGTTTCATTGGGTCTGGCTCAATTGGCCGTGACAGTTTTTCTGTTCAGGACAGGAACATAATGGACTTTCAGAGAGAGGCCTCTGTTTCTGGTATGAGCAGTTAATTTTTTTATGATTACTGTTACAAGCCTTGCCTGCCACATTAGATAGTCACATTTGAGGAATGGCAAGTGGGGTTTATCGCTGTATTGTGCAGGTGTCAACGACCACAGCGGGCTCGTGAATTTTTTTTAATACACAGTCCCACATAATTATCTCATAACTCAGAACAGTGCCACCGCAGTTTAAAAGACACTTTTCAGAGGATCTGTACATTTAAAAAAAAGTTTGCAGTCATCTTAGCTGAGCATAAAGATTGAAGATAACAAGGGGAAGTAGCTAACCTGGCTCCATCTTGGAATAATAAAATCCACATATCAGTGCCTCTAAGGCTCACTAATAACATGTTGTATCCTATTAGTTTAATTATCTCAAATTGACATAAATACTTTTTCAGAGAGCTTGTAAGCTGTTGCCATGCCAGAAACTTCCATTTTTAGCACATCCAGCCAAAGGTCCAATAAGCTTCTGCCACGGAAAAGCATCCATCCACAATTCAAAAGAATCGCTACTCCTCCGAGAGTATTAGTTAGATTTCAGTGAAATGTGCACACAGTGATCCCCTAATCAATCATCCAGATAGTGCTCAAGGTCAGGGTCACATTTGTAGGGCTCATAAGCCTACTACATCATTGATGTTCTGGTTTATTAGCAAGACAGTGACTACTGTTTTATACTCCTGTTTTGAAGCCTTAATCCTAGTATTATTGAACTCATCGTCTGTTTTTATTTCTTTCTGGGAGCAGAAGTGACTGTTAGCATGGTGAATCTATTCACTGGACATATAATTCATTGTAGGCATACTGCTTTTTACCTATAAGAGCTCAGTAACATAGAAATAAAATACCACATGGTTTGGACAGTTTGTTACAGCATGTGCTTTCTTTACTAATATTATTAAAATTGCTTCAAAAGCCACAAAAACTGTCAAAATGTCGGGTTTACTGAATTAGCTGAAGTTAACCCTAGCACACAGCTAGTAGCCTAGCTTAGACTAGCCCCTCCCCCTGTCATTCCAAACAGCAAATTATGTGTTGGCTAACTATAAGATTTTATTAAATTTAAATGGATGAGTTATACAAAAGAACCTCTTCCAATTTATAAAAGAAAAAATAAGCTATAAAGACCAAAAACTGTTATTTTTTAAATAAATTTATTTTTTATGTAAAGTCAGCCAACTTAATATGGAAGTCTATAGGAAATTGTTTACCTCGAAACGCCATTAAAGGAACTACAAATCAAATTCAGCTTCATTTTTCAGCCCTGGGCTTGCTGGTTGGTCTCCAGTTTATGCTAACCCAAGCTAATTGACTGTAGCTTCATAATATCAACCTTCTAATCTACATTAGCAACATGTCAGCTTTTTCCTCCAGGTTATTATCCTGCAGTGGACCTGGATATATAATAAATGTACCCCTCTGTGCTCTCGGTCATCCTTTCTACACTCATCATTAACAAATCCCTCAAATAAAACATAAAAAAGAAATCTCAGTATGTACTGTAGCCCTGATTTATCCCTCCACCCGGCCCTAATCTGTTTCACATGCTGAGATTTTTGATGAAGAAGAGAATTGGCCCTCAAGTTCAAGGTCCTGTGTGGATTGTGTCAACTGCAGACTTTTGTAAGGGGGGAAAACAGAGTAAAGAGATGTAGGCGCACTAAAATAAGGTGGGACGCTGTGTGAAAAACACCACCTTTATTATCGATTGACTTATTTTTATGTTGCTAAAAAAAAAAACAGGCAGCTTCCAAATCCACATCAGACACTCAGATGATCTCTGCTCTGACTGAATATGAAGGTGAAAACTAAGTTGTGTATTTCCTAAGTTTCCTGCTCTCTCTGTCCTTTAAATTGTATTATTATTCATGAAAAGTATATTCTACTTAAAGTCACTGGTCCAGTTTGACTTGAAGTCATGTTGCCAAACCAAATTTTGATATCTACAAAGCACAATCCTGTCTGAATGGATCTAATACTTAGTTTGTAGAACATCCCGGTCAATTTTTTAGAAGACTTTCCTTCCCTTGGTGGACAAGTCAGTATGTATGATACAAGGGTGATGATGAGGGGCGGGGGGTGTCCAGTGTTTGTAAGCACTTGCATGTATACACTTTTCTTTATTTCTGTTTTTTAACTTTCAATTTTAGCCCAAAAAATGTGTGTTTTTGAATGATATTTGGAATTTTATCACTTTCACTGGTACTGATGATCCATGTAGTACTATAGGTGTGTGTGTGTGTGTGTGTGTGTGTGTGTGTGTGTGTGTGTGTGTGTGTGTGTGTGTGTGTGTGTGTAAGAGAAGAGCGATCTAAAAGTCAAAATTTTTCAGT